GCCTTTGCTAAATCAGAGGCTTCATGTACTTCAGGCTACATTAATTTGCTCAGATATCACATCTGTCACAATAGCCACAATCAGGGATAAAATGAGTTTCAGCAGTCTACTATTATTCTCTAAAATCTATTTATTTATTTCAATAAGAAAATTGGTGAATTAAAAAGAGACATGAAGGAGATTGCCATGTCTGCACATTTAGGTCTTTAAGAGCAGCCCTAAATTGCCCTTCTGTTCCGCCATGTTTTGTATTGAGTTCTGCGCTACAGGATGCGGAAAGGAGGTAACATTTGAGAAGCAGGCTTCTACTTGGTCTTCCCTGATATGAAAGCTTCACATATAGATCACAAAACCATCATGGAGATTGAGAGAAAGAGAGAAAAGAAACCATACACATAGCCCCAAGGCTAACTGTCGCCCTGACCCAGAGTAGATAGATGCGTATCCCTCTGTTAAATAGTGAGCAGGCCCTTTTAGAATCCATCAGTCGAATCCCCTTTCCTTTCAGGGATCCATAACCCAGAACTTGCTTACCTAACAGCACATATACCCAGTAGACAGCCTCATCTTTCCCCAGAGGAGTAGCTGGTGGTTTCAAACTTCAGACCTTGAAGTTAGCAGCCGAGTTTGTCATAACCAGTATGCCACCGGTGCACAGGACCCACAAATATGGACCTATGTCTTGACAACTGAAGAGTTAATTACAGGCCATCCTTTCCAAGATCTCCTTGTCTCTTTATTCCTAGGAACTGGCTGTTATATAATCAATGAACTCCAGAGTTGGACTTGACCCAGGTTCAAACTCTGAGTGAGAAGTAGCATCTTTTTTACCGGACCAAATGCTGCCACTCTCTTAATCATCTAACCTTTGACTGGACAAATTGAGTGGTGCTCTTGTTGCCTGCATATCTATTTTCAATCAGCATTTGTATATCTCCCAGGCACCCCTGCCTTCCTCTTTGGATGACCTTACCATTTATCATGACGATTCCATTCAGGCACATCTGAGCGGCCTCTGCTGCTGCTATGATTGGAGAACCTCATTCCTTATTGGCTTTTCCTGTCATCAGCTCTGGCTTTTGATTCTGCTACTCACCTTCTCAGAGAATTTCTTATGGATTCGATAAATGTTGTGCTGGAGGCCCTGCTACAGAACATAATCATCCAATGAATACACATTGCGATGCAATCTGCAAGGTTGGCAGTTTGAAACCACCTGCAGCTCCTTGGGGGAAAGACAGGGCTTTCTACTCCTGTGAGCAATTACAATCTTGGAAACTCATGGGCAGTTCTACTCTGTCCTGCAGGCTGGCAATGAGTTGGTATTGGACCGATGGCAGTGAGTTTGGCTCTATATAGATCTCAGCAAGTTCCCGTTCTTGATTCCCTTCATCCCTTCTTCCACCACCTGCCACGGCAATTGTAGCAATCCAGTCTCACCAAAAGTCAGGCATCACTTTCTCCATGCTTCCAGATGCCACCCGAATACTGACCTTCTAACTATGTTAGTCCCCCACCGTATCCTCACACATCACCTCTCAGTCCCAGCGCTCTATTTCATTTCCATTTCTCACACAGTATTGGTGAACATCCCTCTCAGAGAGGGCTCTGAACTATGTCATGTTTATTATTTCAACAAGCAAATCATGAGTAGTTTATTCTTCCCAGGGATCCTTTCTATAGTTTTTCAAAATTAGGTATATTGTTGGAGAAGATGGATGACTAGGTGGGGAGATGTGGACTCTCAGATTGTGGACTTGTTTGTACAGAACCTCACAGGTCTACATCATTCCATTAACCTGAACTCCGTTGGGGGAGGGGTGTGTCTATAGTACATTGGGATGGGGGACTTCAGGCCAAATGGTCTCTAAAGAGTTTAACGTTCAGTGACCCTATCTAGAAAAGGGGAGAAATGGGATTTGAATTCAACTTGAGTTCACTGGCATAAGAATGACAAGACAACAGAACAAGTTCTGAAACACACCAAACAATCCTTTTGGGCAGAGACAAAAGGACAGGGCGAACCTTCTTACAAACCACACCGTGCCTGGAATGTCTTATTTCATACATTTTACAAGCTCACACATTCTCATTTTTCTCTCTTGCCACCATCAAGATTGCAATTTTCCTCCTAACATTGCCCATGGACGTCATCAACTAATATCTAACTTTTTCAAAACCGAGGCTTTGTATGAATGCGATGATGGATACACTCTGCAGGGACGTGCTAAGATCTCCTGCAGTAGTTCAACCTGGTCCTCTCCACTTCCTCAGTGTAAAGGTAACTGCTCCTCCCTTTTCAATGCAGGGCAAAGTGGGTGGAAAACCATGACCGGGTGAAGAGGAGAGCTTAATTTCTGTCTGAGACAACATGCATACATCTTTTTATACTATTTATCTTAAGAAATTAATATGTGCACATGGTACCCAATGCAAAAGTACAAAACATTTACTGAAAAGTTCCTCTTCCCTATGTTTTTAGTCCACTCACACAATTTAGGCCTCGAAAGGCATTCTGTACTCCCGCATCCCCCACCTCTGTGTCTTGTATATATTTCCAAAAATATAGGAGAGGTTTTTACCTGAAAGTAGCTGTGGGCTCAAGCAATAATTCAATAAAAACTTCCCTTAGTATAAATGTATGCTTCTATGGGATAATTCCAGCCATCATGAAGTGTCTCCATCAGGGCCTTGTGCAGGAAATAAAGTTGTCCATGACACAGGTGGTGTGGTGAGGGACGCTCTCCTTGTTTGCCAACAGGTTATGGTGACAGAATGAGTCAGCCTTGTGCCTGGGGTTTACATGTAAACAGCTATTTTTATTATTTTCTAACAACAATCTCAGAAATTGCTTGTAACTGTTGTGTCCATGAGTACAGAGGACAATGAGGCAAGAAGAGTATTTTCATTTTTACAGCTATGAAGACCACAAGAGATAGTTATTTTACGATCTAGGAATCTAGGGTCACTATAGATAATATTATTATGTTTTAAAATTATGTCCTGAGCAAGTTTCTCCACATCTCAACAATGTCAGCTTCCCCCCACCCTAGTAAGTGTGATTAAAAGCCATCTCATAGGATGACTGTGAGGTTCAAATGAGATGATCATATAGTCCATAAAACAGTCCAAATTCTGATATATAGTCAATGCTCAATGAAAGTGTTGATTAATGTTCTAGTTTTATCAAAGTGAAAAAATATTAGACTCAAAAATATACCCTAACACCACAAACCCACCACCATTGTGTTGATTCTAATTCATAATGATCATACAGAGTTCCAAAGTTATAAATCTTGATGGGCCCAGATGACATCATCTTTCTCCCTTAGAGCAACTGGTGGGTCCGAACTGCCAGCCTTATGGTTAGCAGTCCTTTAGTTACCAGGCAGTGCCATTCAAGCTCCTCTAAATATAATTCATACTTATCATTCTAGCCTCCTATCATGCTTTTTTCTTAGAATGACAGATCAATTAAAAATGTGTTTTCATTACAGCCCAGTGCCTGAAACCAACAGTAGAAAATGGTCATTTGTCTGTGGAAAAGTATATCTATTATGAAGGTGAAAATATTACTGTCCATTGTAATCATGGTTACAATGTAGTTGGCACCCAAAGCATCAGCTGCTCAGAGAACAGAACCTGGTACCCAGAGGTGTTTAAGTGTGAGTGGGTAAGTAGCACACACAGTTCAAGAAAGTTCCTGTCCTGTCACATCCTAAACACGGTGGGCCCTCTGAAACACCCTCCCAGCCATCACTGATGAGATCGGACTTGTCAGTAGTCCTTTCTGAAATCACTCAACAGCATCTTCTTTTCACCACTAGAAGGACCTAATGCGTTAGGAAGGGCAAGTTTTCCTGCTATCACCTTAGGACAGGAAAAATTGAGACCCTTAGTGAGAGGCCTTCTCATTGACTTAAGAACCTTGACTCTGAACTTTGTCAAGACCATATAATGATATCCTGTTGTTTTATTTCGGGATGGCTAGCAGAAAGAGCTGAGGCCTTCTGAGGAGCTGTCTCAGAACAGATGTCTGTCTGTCTCTTCAGGACAGACCTAAAGAGCCTTCTAGTTTACTGTACTCAACCTCCAATTCTGGGTTGGTTGTGATCCTGTGACTTTGCCTTTGTCAGTGATATACTCTTTCTCATGATCTGAAATGAGCCATTCACCCATGCCCGCCACTCTGTCTCTTCTAGGAAGTTCCTGAAGGCTGTGAGGCAGTGCTAGCAAGCCAGCACCTTCTGAAGTGTCTCCCACATCCAGAGGAGGTGAAATTGGCCCTGGAGGTGTACAAACTGTCCCTGGAGATTAAAAAACTGGAACGAGAGACCAGCAACGCAAATACATGCCCTCGGGATTCTTCACTGTGAAATCTCCCAAAACAGGGAGGAAAAGTGATTAGCTACTTTCAGTTCAATACCGATCACTTCTGTCTCACCACTCTACTGTCCCTTCGGCACCGTAAGCTATGGTACTACCTATCTGGGTAAGATAACGGCTGTGTGCTTTTGAAATGATAGAATCGTTGCTCATCTGCCCTCTTTTGGCTCATACAACTGCTTTTTTGAATGCAAAGTATAAATTGTTTTTCCATTAAAAGTCCTCATATCAAAAAGCTCTTTTGTCTTCCTGGCCACTCAGGACTGTGTGAGACAAGGGTCCGAAAGAAGCTGATTGCTTAGAGCTGCTGCACTGATATCTGAAATAAGTTGATGAAACTGTGTCCTTTATCATTATTATTGTTGGCTTTAACAAAAGGACATTTATTTTGTCACAGTTTAGGAGGCTAGTTGCCAGCTAAGGAAAGGCTTTCTCTCTCTGCTCAGAGAGGAGGTCTTTGTCTTTTTGCAGCTTCTTTCTTTCCATTTCCTCTTCTGAAGACTGTCACCTGCCCTTTGTTCTTCTGCCTGCCGGGCTGGTCCAGAACCCAAGCTGAATCGCCAGTGTGAGTGTGTCCTTGGGCGTGTGAAACTGGAGAAGGCTGTCTTTGGATAGATACAGCTGCCGTGAGACCCCCCAAGATGGCAGTGAGTAATGGGAACACAATCAATAAATATGCTTCTGCGCTCTCTAAGCAGATGTGCCCTCATAGTCAGCCACGTTAGTCCCGCCATCTGCCCTGTGATCAGTTGCACAAATGAGAGTTGCAATGCTTACAGGCATTTCCTTCTTGTATGCATTCCATAGTTTTGTATTGGTTTCACTCTCAAAATATACAAGGCCAATGGAGTGTGTTTTCGGTGCTATAAGGACACAAATGCTGGTCC